CCCTGGAATCTGCCTTACCCAGCTGTGAACTAGATTGGGAAAAACCTTATATGAGATGAACTACTGTGTGGATTGAGGCAAGGGAAAGGAGAGGAGGGGAGTTAAAGGGAATCCCTCTAAGCTTGGACAAACCCCTCTTTTCTTCTCTGCTCTCCCATCTCTACCCCTGTGGTCCCTCCCCTCCCCTCCCCTCCCCTCCCCTCCCCTCCCCTGAGTAGAGCTGCCTCCTGCTTGGGCATGAGGCCCGGGTGTGCTGGTGTTCAGTGGCCTATTGTGTGCAGAGGCAGAGAGTTGGCATGTCTGCCATGCAGCACCCTCCCCCCCTCCCTCTGCCCCTCTTATTGTTTTTCTTTGCAGCAGATGAAATCCTGAGGCAGCACATTCTGCCTTGGGCAGAGCTCAGGCTACTTTCTGCCTTGATACAACCAAGTGGAACCAGAAGGTCTAGATTTTGATTTGTGTGAAGTGAACATATTTGTGTTCTGAGGGAGATGGCAGGGGCGGCTTACTGCCTCTGACCTTCGGAAGGAGGGGGACAAGACATCTCCCAGGGACAGGTGGAATTCGGCCTTGAATCTTTTAGTCTATTGAGTTTTTCTTGGCGGGATGGTAGAATTCTTGAAGTTAACTTTGCCTGCCTTTAACCCAGTGTTGAATGACCTAGGGCTGTCTTTCACATGATTTAATTTAAAAAAAAATTACTTCCTCTAAACCCACCCTTTGGAGTAGCTTTAGGAAGTGGACACAGACAACAGGCTCAGACAGGAGACTTCCAGAATCAATCAGTGGGTCAGCTGAAACCTAACCCTAATTAGCCCCCAAACGGGAGGAGTTGAGAAGGGGCACAATTCTAGTGTTGAGAGCTATAGTTCTTGAGATATTACTCCCCAATCATTGTTGTTTACCCCAGGAAAGGCAGCTACATCAGCATCCAGTTTTCTTTAGTTCCCTATCTATTGCCAGCCCAGTGAGACTGGATACAGTTATCTCAAAGCACTAGACTGCTCTTCTCCTAGAAACAGTCCCTTGGCTAATCAAGACCTTGGCCCAGCCCACCTCAAGCTAGTGAGAGAATGGAGAGAAATAGCCAGAGGTCCTGCCTTCCCCAGCCCTACAGCTGCAGGATGGTAAAAACTGGCCTGAGCTGGTCGCTTTCCCTACTATACCAGCTGTTTGAGGAGGGGAGGTCAAAGGAAGTAGCAGCTGGAATACTGCTGATTACTGTCCCCATCTTCCTTACCCCACCCCCACCCTAGTGCCTCCCCTTCACTTCAGATCCCTGAAAAAACGGGTCTGAGGGCACCAGATTTCCTAGTGCACCCAGGGGCATGCTCTCTGGGCTGCTTATTCTTTAGCTAAGACTAGAACAGAGGGAATATACCCTTTCAATGAGTGGGGAAGGCAGTGGCAGTATCTTCCCACCATTTGGAAATTCTAAATTCTCTGTCTAGTGGCCTGGCATTATGGATATTAACCTAGCTGGTATGTAGTTCCATCACTATCACTACGTAGTTATGGGATCTTGAGCAGGCAGGGTCATTCTTTGTGCCTGAGCTTCTCCATCTCAGAGAATGAGAACATTAGACTATACCCTCCCCAGACAGCTTGTTCCTCTCACCTTCCCCTGCTAGGGGGGGCAAAATCTTAAGCATCACCAATGAATTAGAGAGTTCTGATAGTCCTGCACATTATGTAGCCTGCTGCCCAGCTAGCTAATGCCACCTGCTAGTCTGCTGACTAAGTGACCAGGGAACTGTTTCAGCCTAAAGAGTCTCAGTTTCCTATTTTAACTGGCAACTCTTAAGTGACAGCAGGGAATACTTATTGCTGACCGTCTCCCCCCTCCCCGCCCCAAGTCCACAGCTGGTTCAGCTGATGGGTTACTGCCAACTTCTCGTTAATCTACAGGAGAGGAACAGGTGTCTCTTGGAACATATTGTTACTAGGCAGGGCTGTTGCCTTTAAGAAGTTTAGGAATCCCTGGGCACATTAGGGCCCCTCACATGACCTTTGACTAGCTTTCCCCCACAGCCACACAGATACACACACATGTACACACACATGCCTATATGTACACACACATATGCACACACACCCATGCAGACAAAAGGGCTTTACTAAAGGAGGCTGGTCTGCTGCCTGCCTCTTGGTCTGACCCACCTCAAGCTAGTGGTAGAGTGAAGAGAAATATCCAGGGGTCCTATCTTCCCTAGCCCTGCAGCTGCAGGATGGTGAAAGCTGACCTGAGCTGGTCATCTATCCTGCTGTACCGTGAGAAGGGCCGGGCATGGCAGGTTGAAGGAAATAGCAGCTGAAATATTGCTCGTTACTGTCTCCATTCCTCCCCTCTTGCCACTCCACTTCAGACCCCTGGAAAAACTGGTCTGAGGGCTCCAGGAAATTTTCTGGTACGCCCAGGGGCATCCTCTCTGGGCTGTGTATTCCTAGGCTAAGACTAGAACAGAGGGGATGAGCCCTTTTAATGAGTGGCGAAGGCAGTAGTAGGGAAAGCACTCCAAGAAGGAGTACCTTGGGGCTCAGTTTCCGTTCAGACAGGGTCATTTTGGGGCCAATTGGCACTGGCAGCTCCAAGGGGAGAGAGGAAGGGAGGAAAATGGTTAGGTAGCTATGAAAACCCAGAATGAGTCAGATTTGGGGCCCTTGCCCCACAACAGTGCCAAATGGGTGCTTTCTGCCCTCACCTTGTTGCTCCATAGAAGGCACCTCAGTCATCATTTGACTCTGATCCTAGATTTGCCTCCCATTCCCCACCAGCCCCCATGAAGCCTAGGCTCTCCATGCATACACAGTTCTTGTCCTCAAATGACTTATCAGTGCAGAGGCAATACAGTTCCAGAGTTGAGGCAACAGAAATACATGGAAAGAAACTTGGAGAGCCCATAGGGAAAAGCAAAGAATGGGCCCTCATTGGTTGTTTTCCTTAGGAATGGGCAACTCCTTCCACCTCCTAATAGGGCCCAAGGGATCCCTGGTAAAGATAATGGGGATGGCTACCCAGGGAAAGATGGAGAAGATAAAGGCTGCAGTCTCTGAGGTGGGGCGAAGAAAGGGAGGGAGAAATTGGATGCTGCATTGTACAGCTCAGCAGTCCTTCTGTAAGCTGGAAAGCAAGCAGTCTGGCTTTGGCAGTGCCCACCTTCCTGGAGGTGCCAGATCTGCCTGCCACACTTAGATGTGATTGACTTCTCTGACAGTGAGGGATTTTCAGCCCTGCTCAGGCAGCAAGTCAGGATGGTAGGCAGATTGGGAGGCATCTGGAGTCACCAGTATTTCAGATCAGGAGAGATTGTTTGCCTGTTCTGTCTAAAGATGGTCAGAGAGGTCTTGCCAGCTGTGCCTTCACCTAGCCATTTGCCTAGGCCTGACATAGTGGAAGGAAGGAGGCATCAGTGGGAAGGAGGCAGTAGGGATTTTGCCACTGCATAAACACTATCCCTTTTGAACTTAGTGACTTGACATTTCTTCAAAGACCCTGGAAATAGTGTATGAGTTTGGTTCACAGATAAAGCAGTGGACCAGCATGCTTGATTCGAGGATCAGTTTTCAAAGTATCTGAGATCTTGAGCTGGAAGGAACTCTAGAAGCCATCAACCCATCTCACCCCCTTTTTGATTGCTGAGGAAGTTGGGCTTAGGGAAATCAAATGACTCAACCAAGGTGGCATAAGTTGTAGTTGTCTGAGGTGGAATTTGAACACATGGCTTTGACTCTAGTTCCAGTTTTTTATTATACCGTCCTATCTCCAAATTTCACTTATTCTTAGTTGTATCTCTGTATTATCTTGGTCAAATCTTCTCCTTTCTATGTCTCAGTCAAACAGCTCTGTGGCTATAACTGATCACTTTTGCCTCCCTGGGCCCCAATTTCCTCCTGTAGAAAATGAAGGGGTTGGCTGAGATGGTCTTCAGTGATTCTGTGAATCCCTTTAACTCTCTCTCAAGTGGGTGAAGAGAAAGGTATTAAGCCGATGTCTCATTAAGACAATGTCTACAAAGTTGATCCTTCTGGCTTTTATTAAGCATGCCTTTTAGTCTACTACATTAAATGGTGCCCTGAAACAGGGAATGGTCTTTTTGGAGGTTTTCCATATCCTAGAACTTCTGGGTAGCTAAGATGGGATGATGGAGAATTTGCTTCTTACGTTAATTACTTTTATCCTCCCTGGGGGGGGGGGGAATGGGAACTCTTCCAATTCAGTAAACATTTATTAAGGGTCTTCCATGGTGTGGTAATGTGCTGGGCCTTGGGGATAAAAAGATAAAAATTATATCATTCCTGCCCTCAAAGATATTTTGTTCTGAGGGAGCAGAGGAAAGGCAAGGCTAAATGGAGGAGAAGTAGGGCCTGAACTGAACCTCAAAGAAATACAAGGCATCTGAAAGGTAGAGATGAGGAGGCTATGTATTTTGGGTATAGTTGTGGGGGTGGGAGAGGGGTCATCTGGTTTGATTGCATGGAAGCAGGTGTTTAGAAACATATTGAGTTTAGTGAATGGCTAGCTGTGCACTTTATCCAGAACCTCGAGTGTGGAAAAAAGGAATAATAGGGAACAGGGCTGGAAAAGTCATACTTGTACCTTTGGAAGATGCTTTTGGTAGCCATGTAAAGAATAATTTGGAAGGGGGAGGCTGGAAGTGGAAAGACCAATTAGAAAGATATTATAAATAGTCTAAGAAAGGGCTTGAGATAGGATGGTGACAGTATGAGTGGAAAGAAGATAGATCTAGTACATGTGAAGGTACAATCAACAAGCTCTAGCAACTGATTGGATATAGGGGGGCATGGTGAGAAGGAAGAAAAGATGAAAGGCACCATCAAGATTTTGAGTCTGGGTGCCCTGGAAGTGGTGGTGCCATCAGTGAATAGGGGCAGGCTTGGATGGATAGGTTTATGAGGGTTAAGGATGATGAGTTCAGTTTTGGTCATGTTGGGTTATTTGAGGTTCTTAATCTAACCTTGTTCACCTGTTTGCATTTCAGAGATCCGTGCCCAACTCACGGAACAGATGAAATGTTTAGACCAACAGTGTGAGCTACGAGTACAGCTGTTGCAAGATCTTCAGGACTTCTTCCGAAAGAAGGCTGAAATTGAGATGGACTACTCCCGAAACTTGGAGAAGCTTGCAGAGCGCTTCCTGGCCAAGACTCGGAGCACCAAGGACCAGCAGTTCAAGTAAAGTGTTTCTTAGTTTTTAATTTTGGAATCTCCTGGGGAGGCTGAGTTTGTTGACCCATGATTCTTTCAGATGATTAGTTCAGCATAGAAAAGTGCTTAGGTACTTTTTCAGGGCAGTCTTATATTCAACCTGTCATCCTGAATAAATCAAAATAAATTATGAGTTGTAAGAATGATGCAGTGTCCAGCCGTTTGTGCTTGGTATATGTTATCTGCCATGTTTTTTGCCTTCAATGTTTCTTCCAAATTAGTAATATAGAGGAGACAAAGAGCCCTTTATTTCTTGAATACCACCTCTGAATCCGGGATCCAGGTTGGATGAAGCAGTATGACAACCCTGACAGAGTTAATCTGAGCATTTTCTCCAGATATTATCACATCAGGATCTCTTCACCATAATTTACCCTGGGTTTGTTTTTTGGTTTTAGCAAATCTGATATAGGTAAAGTTAGCTTTTTCATAAGTGATCAGTTAGGGAGTAATTATCTGTGGCAAATTTTGGTAAATATGGAGGTAGTTCTCAATACAGATTGAACTAAATGACCTTTGCCTTCCTTTCCAGCTCTGAGATTCTCTAATCCATTGTACAAAAGGATTTAAAATAGTATTCATTTAATTACAGAGATTTATTACTGGATTTATAATAAAAATTTGAGTTTTACATATCTGTTTTCAGAGCATACCTTTCCTTTATTTGAGTGGCTCTCATAGATGCGTAGAATGTTTTAGAGGTGGAAGAACATTTAGAGTTCCCATAGTTTAGCCGTGTTACTTTACAGATATAGAAACAGAATCAGCAAATTTTTGAGCCGAAAGAGACCATGAGGATCATGTATTCTAATGTTTTCATTCTATAAGATGGAGAAGCTCAGGCACAAAGGGTGACCTTGGTTGCTCAAGCTCCCATAACTATTTAGTGATAGTGTTGGAACTAGAACCCAGGTTTCCTATGTTGACATCTTATATAATCAGGGTAGAGTATCCTGGCCTTGGGAGCAGAAGGATTTGGGTTCATTATGAAATCTGATGCTGGCTATACAGCTGGGGACAAGTCACTTGAATTCTCTGACCTGGTTTCCTTCTTTTAGCACCATGCGTGGCACATAGGAATTGTTTACTAAGTGCTTCTTAATTCCTCTCTAAAGGGGAGATCATACTGCTTTGCCTGCCTGCCTAACAAAGATTGTTTGGAGGATCAAAAGAGATAATATCTGTAAAGCACTTTGTAAGCTGTGAAGTGCTATAGGAATAGAAAGTGGTAACTTTATGGTCCTAATAGTTAATGTACTATTGCTGCCTCTCCTCATGTGTGCCCATCTTTGAGGGGTTACCATGAATGAACTCCCCTACTTGAAATCTCAGCAATGAGGGTGTGTTCTCCAAAGAGAGGGAATGGATATTTACTCAGTGATAAGGCATGCTATTAAACTGCACTTTTATCAGCCAATCAGTCTGTCCCAAAAGTTTTAGTGCAGTTCAAAGCTTTAATAGGTTAAAAAATCATAGCTCAGTTTTAAGCTTTGATAGCTTCAAACTTCGGTAAAACCAAGCAGTTGGTTATATGGAACTGGAGTTCAGGAAGGAAATTAGGACTGGATTTCAGAGTGATCTGCCATGGCCATGGGATGATAATCCACCCATGAGAATGGCTACCTTGGCAAGAGAATGTAGAGAAGAGGGACAAGGACAAAGACTTGAGGGAGGAAACACCCACTTTTAAAGGGAAGAAGATGACTGATGGTCTAAAGATTAAGGAGTGGTCAGGTTGGTCCAAGGAGAATTAGGAGAAAGTAGTGCCATAGAGGTCAAGGGGAAGAAAAGGCCTGTAGGAAGAGGGAGGTCAAGTAGGATAAGGACTGAGAAGAAGCCAGCAGATTTAACTGTTAAGAGATCATTGGGAGCCTTTAGAGCATAGTTTTAGTCAAGCAGCTGGGTCAAAAGCCATAGTGAAAGGGTTGAGAATCGAGTGGGAGATGAGGAAATGGAAGCAGCACATGTAGACAGTTTTTTCTAGGAGGATGGCTGTGAAATAGGTGAGCTAGAAGATGGCCTTTTGAAGGGCCAAGCGTGACATGAAAGGGTTTTTATGGAGGGGAGGAGGCGTGGACATGTTTGTGGACATTAGGGAAAAGAGCTAGCGGAGAGGTGGAGGTCGACGTTGAGAGGGAGAGGAAATAATCAAAGGCAGAAGCTTTTGGAGATGTTGAGGGGCATGGGATCAAGAGCCCAAGTGGAGGAGCTGGTTTCTGCAAGGACAAAGGTAGCACCTTCCTCAGAGATAGGAGCAGGGGATGAAGGACTAGGGGATAATGTAGCCTGGTTTTGAGGTATGGAACAGGGGATAAGACCTCATGGCAGATGGCCTTTGTTTTATCAGTAAAGTAGGAGATAACATCTTTTGCTGAGGGGAAGAAGATGAGGTACTAGATGGCATAGTAGATAGAGTGCTGGATCTGAAATCATGAAGACCTGAGTTCAGATCCAGACTTTGACACTTAGTGACCCAGGGCGAATCAGTTACTCTGTCTGCATTAGTATCCTCATCTCTAAAATGAGGGTAAAAATAGCCACCCAGGACTGTTGTGAGGATAAAATGAGATAATATTTATAAAGTGCTCTGCAACCTGAAAGTGGTATATAAATGCTAGTTATTATCACTATCATTGTAATGATAATAGTATTAATGTCAGGAGCATAGGAAAAGAAGATTTGGAATAGCCAAAGTGGTGGTATAAGAGATAGTTGATCAATGAAGAATTAAATGATAGCAAGGGCCCAATTGATAAGTAACACACATTTATAGAGAAGCTGGTTGTGTAGTTTTCTCAAGCAGCTTTCAGCAGTACCTGAGTAGGAGACAAGAAGCAGCAGCCAAAGAGGAAGTGAGTAGAGCAGAAAAACCAGTGAATCAGGAACCAAAGAATCTAGGTTCAAATCCCAGTGCTGCCACTTATTGGCTGTTTGACTTTGGGCAAGTTGCTTAACTTCTCTGGGCTCAGTTTCCTCACCTGTAAAATGATGGGGTTTAGATTAGGTGACTTCTAAGGTCTCTCTCAATTCTAACTCTGTTTTCCTGAAGTGGCTGGGGGATGTGGAAGGGAGGTTAATTACCCAGGGCTGGTGTTTGTGCACTATGTAGTGATAGTACAAGGGGGTGAGGCGTACAAAAAGTAGGGAGTAGTGTATCATTGAGCTGGTCACCTGCTGTTTTGTCAAGACTTCGAAGGAAGACGAGTGAATGGGCCAGAGAATGGGTAGGGATGGAGGGATGCCTCAGATGATAATGATGATGATAACAATGGTGAAGATGTTAATAGCTGAGATTTATATAAGGCTTTAAACCTTGCAAAGCACATTATATTCACTAGCTCACTTGATCTTGATAACAACCTTGTGAAGTGGGTTATTTTATTATCCTCATTTAACAGATAAGGAAACTGAGGCCCTGAGAGGTTAAGTAAATTACATAGTAGTATAATACAATGTAGGGATTGGAGTCAGGAAGACCAGGGTCAGAATCTTGCCTTAGACACTTGCTAGCTGTGTGACTGTGGGCAATTCCCTTGGAGTGACGCTGCCAGTGGATAGTGAAGTAGGTCCAGAATTGACTAAAAGGAAGAAAGTGGGCTGGATTGCTTTTGGAAAATGGGAAAGAGCTTTTAATGACCTGAAGCTTCTCCCTGAGATAAGGCCCCATCCTTGTGAGACCATCATTCTTCTGCCATTTGTGTATGGTTCTGAGTCATGGAACACCACTGTCTCCAAAATTGAAGATCACCCAATGGGCAGCAGAGAGGTGCATGGAGGGAGTGAGCAGGATGTTACATGTTACAAAGAAGGAATTAGGAACTGGAAGTGATGTAAAGGATGCCATCAGAGATACAGGTGGCTAGTCATGTGGTAGTGGTGGGGGCCACCAGTAGAGACCCCACATGCTTCATTGGTATCCTTGCAATATGCTGAGAAAACAAGAAAGACCTCCAGTACATTGGGCGTTCTCTTCATGGAGAAGAGTTCCACGAGGTGGGCAGACACGGATGGGTTATAATCTGTATGCTGTGAAGGAATATTAACACTGACAAGATCATAGGCCCATTTTAGAGTAATGGGGTTCCTGAGGGTACACTGGAAAGAGAGGGTCTAGGAAACTACTTTTCAATTCTTTTGTCTGTCTTTTGTATTTCTTTATCTCTGAACGTATTGAACATACCCCTCCAATAGAATGGATGCTCCTTGAGGCCTGGACAATCTCACTTTATATTTATTTTCCAGAGCTTAGCATAGTGCCCAGTACACAACAGGCACTTAATAAATACTTATTGGTTGATTTACTGATGGCCTGGAGCTGCTAGGACTGAGATGGCACCAAGTACAGTTTTCAAGGGGAGCCTGGCAGGACTGGAGTCCCATGGAAAAAGCAGGAGCAAATGCCTGCGTGCCAATGGTGCTTCCTTTTTGCCTAGGTGCTTCAGAGTTACAGAAAGCTGATGAAGAGGAGAGGATAATGTCCTCTGGTTCCTTCCCACCCTGAGTTCTTTAATCTTTCCGTGTAGATAAGGATGTGTAGAAAGCTGGGGTCTGTAGACAGGGACTAAGTCTGACAATCTTTGAGTTCCTTTCCAGTTAGATCTAGTTCTAGATCTGTGAGGTCTGGAGGAAAGCATCAGCCTTTGGGGAGTGGAAAGAGAGGGCATCATGTCACAGTGGAGAGGCAAAGCAGTTTTCTAGTCCCTCCCTTTCCAGCATGTCCCCTGGAACCCACTTATTCTAAAGCAACTCTAAGACCTTGTCAGTGTTGACTTTCCCTCAGATGAAGCAGACTGCAAGGCATCAGTGGCTGCCCACCTTGTAGAACTCTGGTTCATGTCTTTCACAAAGTTCACCCAGAAGCTCCCCATGGGCACCCACTACCTTTTTCCAGAGCTGTAGCAGCTGCTGGCCCAGCAAGGCTGTGAGCATTCCCATTGTGCCATCAGGAGCAGCAGCCCTGGGCAGGC